CCCCATGTGCGAAGTCGTGTGAAAGTCAGGAGCCAGCTCGCCCTGGTGAGAGGAGAACTGAAGGTGGTTCATCAGCGCAGGCTTTAATGACAAGAGGCAGTAACAGCCCCAGGTGTATTTCACAGCTCACGGAGTTCTAAGACACCCCTTGGGGTGTGGTAGTGGCTCATTTACATGGGAAAGGCTCCTCGACGTCTTATGCAAAACTTTGAAATGCAACTGATTTCTACAGTTCCATTTCTCTACCTTATATTGAAGGGGTTTTAATTCTTCCCCTTTTATTGGTACACCATATTAAGCACAAAAGGAGGAGCTTTGTTGCTGAAGAGTTCAGCTGCTCTGCCTGTTTATTTGCTGTTAAAGTTCCCATCTTGTTTGTGATGTACAGCTGGCGGGTATGGCATAGATGTGGTGTCATGAGCGGAACGTTATAGCTTCAGGTGGGCATAAGATGCAAGAACAGATGGACTCGTATTCTTCTTTTAAGCAAATGTTCCTGTAGTGATAAAGTGAAGGAGAAAATTATGAAAGAGAGAGGTATATTTTCTGTGTTTAAAAAACATTACTTTGCACCTTCCGCTTTCCAATAAATGAAGTTTTACAAAAATGTACAAGGAGCAGAAATGGTTTAATTAAAACATATTGCAGAAAATGTCTTCTGAAGGTAACGGAGGGTACAGGACATCAGTCCTTGAGGAAGAAGCCCCCAAATTGCTGGAATTTCAGTGAGGCAGGGGCAGGAGGGTGGCTTTTGTGGGGGGCAAGTGTGTGTTCATTTGACTGCAGTCAAGAGGCCAGGTTTATTTTTTCTTGATTGTGGGTTTGAAGGAGTCCTGATCAGCCAGCTACCCTTTCCGACAGGTGAAAGAGCTGGGGTGCTGCAGGCAGCTCTGACAGGTGCTGACACAATATGTCTTGCCTTTTCTGCCTCAAAGTTATCTAGGGCTTGTAAGAAAATAAAAGGAAATAATAAAGTTTGGCTGAGGTTCATGTACAGAGGTCTCTTGTGTTATATTAGACTATTTCGCTGATTGTGTTCTTGTGAACTTGTTTTTGAAAGGCTTGACCTGTGTCACTGCATGTGTTTTTTGGTTACAAGGCTTCCAAGAGAAAAGGCATGAGCCAGACTGACTCTGCCGAAGTAGGAAAGTTTCTCAACCAATTCTTCAAAGTGGGAGATGGGATAAAATCCCACACTCTTGTCAGGGATGCTCTTGAGAGCTTGCAGAGTAGGCGAACCAGGCGTCTTGATTTGTGACGTAAGCAGAAAGAATGGTCAATCTTACTGTCTATCGATTACCAGCCAAAGGGAAAGGAAAGAAAAACATACCTAGTTTGTAATTGTTTTTTTCAGGTCTGAATCCTCTGAAGTGACATAAAGAATACTTTTATATATGTATATATATCTGTCTATCATTCACATGAACTGAATTATGTGTTTGCACTACTTTATACACTGTAAAGCAATGAATACAGTGTTAGTGGGAATTGCCTTTGTTCCCTACCCTTGTCTTCCAGAGAAAAAGTGAGTGAGAAGTGTCTCACCCCAGGCCTGTGCTGGATCTGTGACAGAGCCTGGACTAGGCTGTTGATTCCTGCAGATGTCCGTTCTGCCCTGCCTGGCTCTTGGAACACGATGGTGGTGAAGAGAAAACAGATGTCATTAGGTCACTCTGGGTCCCCATCCCCTGTGTTGCGTGTGGCTCTGCCACCGGCTGCTGGAGTCTCGTACCACCTCTGGGGATGCATTATCTATTCTCCCACCACTCATCATCAGCAAGGCGCTTTCACAGCTAGTCTGGTAGAGTTTCCATCAAGTTTTGGATGCTCTTGATGTTGCAAGAGCTCTTTTTAAACTCTGCTTTTTTTGTATTTTTTATTATCCCCTTGCAATCTGCGTGCACTGTGATGTCTTCAAAACATTTGCATTGAAGAAGCAGCCTGTTGCTATGGTCGGAATTAACTTTTGATGAACTCGTGCTCACTTTTATCTGTTCACCTGTTGTTTCTCCTTGTAAAGCTTTTTCGACCATGAACAAGTGTTTTGTTGTGGGTGCACAAGATTTATCAGTGAGTTGCTTCTGGGCTTGTGGCTTGTAGACATTGCTGAGTTAGGAGGAGAGATGGGGCGAAGGCAGAACAGCTTATGTTCAGTTACTGTGTGACTGCTTGGGCCCTTGGCTGGGGACAGTGACAGCGATGCAATTCACAAAGGAGCAATTAAAACTTGGATTGTCAGGAGCCTTGGGGCTGTAGGCATCACACCACTATGTCCTTCTCAGATGTTACAGTTGCTGTTTTGTGTCTCAGCAGGGTGCATCAGTCATGGCACGAAGGGCCTTGAAACTTGCCTCAGTGGCAGCAGCTGCTTCTGGCATCTATCTATATGGAAACAAGTTCCTGGATCCCAATGATTTCGGAGTTGTCCGTGTGGGCCGAGCCATTGCCACAGTAAGTTTCACTCTAGTGATGTGCAGGAAGATTCCTAGGTGATTAAGGCAATTGGAATTCACGAGAACTTTGAGTTGCCTGCATTCCCTCTCTGCATTTCCAGTTGGCAGCTGGCTCCAGGAGTCAGGAGGTCATCAAGAAGCTCTTCAAGTTGTTGACAGAGTGGGGAGAAAAGAGTTGAAAGCATGTAGGGACTAGCGCTGTCATTTGTGTGTTTTGGAAAGAAACAGAGATGCTGCAGAGAACTATCTCTGCTTCCCTGGACAGGATGGGACCTCCAGAGCAAGGTCTCACTTTGGACCTGCATCTTCATCAGCCACCTTCCAAGGTCAGTCACCCATCTCCGGTATCCTGCTGCCTTTAACAGTGACCTAGTTCAAATGACCTTGTCTGCATATGCTGGTTTTTACATTGGAACATTTTTAGGATTGTGGGTGTCCAACCAGTAATGCTATGGTAGCTGTTGCCCTGTGATCCTTAGTGAGGTAGATTTGGGGAGAGGAGGGCAGGTGTTTTTTGCATCATTCTCAAAGCAAGGGTAAAGTAAGGATGAGAGATGATGTACTGCTGAGATTAGACTGGGTTCCGGATCTGTAAAATAAACACTCTATCTGCCTGGCATCACTACTATTTCACCCTTGTATTGATCACTGCTGCAGAAAGCCTGAGGATGGAGACTGCCAGCCCAACAGGTTGCTGCCTTCTCCTTGAGAAGGGGTCATTCACTGGTGAATCCATGAGCAGCCAGGAACAAGGAGAACAGAGACTCTGGAGGGGGCATCAGTCTCCCTGTACCTCACTTGCATTACACATCTGTCACTTCAGGCCGCGGTCTCCATCATTTACAGACCCCTAGTGGTAAGCAGCTGTCTGTCTGCATATTCTATGACTTTTAAGCACTTCATTAATGAGTTTTACAGGGAGTCAGCTCCTGAGGGCAGATGCAAAAAGAAACAAGCTCTGTGGGTTGGCTCAGGTGCCGTGCCGTTAATATGTGCAGGTTGCACTGTGGGCCCTTGTGAAAAATGTGTGTTTATTTTGAAAGTGTGAGGGCAGAAATACAAACTAATCTTTCCTTCGCACCTAATAAGTGCTAAGCTTTGTGCTCTGTCCTTGACAATAATACTGCGCTGCCTGGTGGCAGGGAGCAGCTCTCTGCCTTTTTACTGCACAGGAAGCGGAAACATGGAGAAAGAGCACAGCTTATTGTGGCTGGAGAGGAATCCGCTATTCAGGCTGTTCAGGCTCTCCAGTCTGCCCTTGAATTCTGACAGCTTGACCAGTGTTTCTTGAAGCCACTGTTTTTTGTGGTTATCTTTTGTTTAAGACAAAAATAAGTGAGAAGTGTGCAGCGATGAAGCTGTACGGTTGGTCTGTGTTTTGAGGTCTGTGTTTTCTTTGCTTTAGTTGCTGGTGAATTTAAATACATGCTTGACTTTCACATCTTCTGCCTTCAGGGAAATCACAAGTTATGGGCTATAAAGCACTTCACTGGCCTTGCTCCTAAGTGCATTAGAGAGTTCTGCACCCACAGCTGCAAGCAGTGACCCCAAAAACAAGCTACCAATGCTCAGTCTTCTGTAGACGATGGCAGCCACATGCTTATATCTACATGTCTGTATACTTTTAAAAAAGAATTCTCTGTCTCTTTTTGAATTGTGTTCCCTCTAATATATAGGACTGTGGAGGGTTACGTTGCTTCTGAGAGATTCTTTAGTCCTGCTGCTCCAGTGACCTCCAGCTTGCTGCTTGGGGTCTGCTCCTTGTTGAAAAGTTGGAGGTCAGCTCTCATCTGAGTGCTGGCAGCCTGAATTGCTGTCATTGCTTAGCCACAGACTGGATAAAGCCAACGGAGCAATTAGACATGTTCATTTCTAAGAAGCTCAGCTTCTCATGCTTGCACTTTTTGTAAGTGAAAGCTGAGACTCTGTAGCAAGTGACTTTGGATATTAGTGGTGTCTACGTGAACCTTAAGCTTCTGGCCTTCTTATCTGGATGTTTGGTTCAGTCATTGTACTACAGCTAGGAAAAAGCAGGCTGTGATTAAGAAGCTGTAGTTCTTTAGGAGCAAAGTTCAGTGGTAGCAAACACAAAAATTTAAAACAAGTTATGATATGGCAAACAAAGCAAACCAAAAGGTTGCAGAAAAGAACACATGGAAGTCAAGAAACCTGACCTAGAGCTACTGGACTTCTGGACAGATTTCATCTGAGTTTGATTAGAAAGATTTGAGTCTGCTTGTATCTTAAACATACTGGTTCAGTAGTCCTTTTCAGATTTTCCTAAGAAGCTTGATGAAGTGAACTTGCAGAATATTTCTTGTTAAGCCTCAGTTTAGAGAACTGGCTCTTTCTTATGTGTAGATAAAGAGCTGTGGGGAGGGAACACTGTGCCATGACTTGGTTAGATCTGAGGATAGTTTTAGGAGTGGTGGAAGAGCGAGCGTTAAGGTGTCGAGAATTCATAGAAAATGTAAGTCCAAGTCTTTGGGACATTTAACACTGGGCTGGACGCAAGCTCAGTTAAAGAAGTCATCTGGCGTTTGTAAGGGAAGGACTGGTTGATGTGGTAGGTCTTTATGTCTCTGAAATTCTGTCTCACACTGTAACAGGAGCTAGGCTTGGATGAGAATGAAGTCACTAGTGTGGATAGCATCGCATTTCAGACAGTTTCTGTGTTCTGGTGAAATTAGAAACCTGGCAGAGCAGTTGTGCATTTGCCGTATTTCTTTGAGGGTATCCCAGTTGGTTTGGGTATGTGGAGGGAACATTCTGTGTAGTAGCTGCAATACATCTCAGACGCTAGCAGGGACTTGGCAATGTCAGAGTTGCCTATCAGGATCATCATAATACTAATTTAGTGTTTAAGATTATGATGTAATTAGCAACCGCTTAATTAATTCCCTCTTCCTCTGTAATATGGGCCAATCTGTTAGCTGCGTCTTTTCAAGTTGGAGGTGATAATTACCCTCGTGGACCAGAGATAAAATATGAACCAACTCAAGCCTTTACGCAAGGCTGATTTGAACCTCCCTCTGCTTCAAAGTTGTTCTTTGAGGTTGTGAAGATGCTTTGAAAATTTTTTTTCTGAATGAGTTTCCATGTAGCTGTGCAGCTCCTAGTTCACCAGGGGCAAGAGAGCCTGATGAGCCAGAAAAAAAATTTGCTGTGTTCAATTTTCAATTTGGAAAACAGGAAATGTGAGAAACCTAACCTCCCCAAGGAAGGAGCGTGTCTGTTTGTAACCGATTCACAGCTTGGTCCCTCCTGGAGACATCTCTGAGCTTTTGGCTGTTTCTCTATTGTCAGTTCCAGCAACTTTGTTTCAAAACGGATTTGATCCCCTCGCCTCTAATATGTATACTGTGCCTTATGCTAGTTTCCTAGGCATGTTTGTGGTAAAAGGTGGGGCTAGTATCCTGTCCTAGAATGGGATGCTATCCTTTCAGTAGGGAGATTTTAGGAAATCTGGGTTTAGATCTGAGTTATGCAAATGGTTCTTTATGGCAAGGGTCCTGAGGTTCAAATGGCCGGTTAGTGGACAGGCTCTCATCTAGATGTATATTCCCTTCTCTACCTCGAAATAAACTTAATAAACATGACTTGTATGTTGTTCTATTTGCTGACATTCTGACTGTAGAAAGAGAGGAACTTTACCCATAGGGTAAAACTAGATCCATTTTCAGAGATCATTAAAACATTTAGGAATCTAATTCCATTGCTGATGGCTTTGTCTACCTAACAAGCTTTAGCTGGATCCTCACATTGTTTTGTAACTGGGTATCTGACCCTTTGTCCCTCTAGTCCTTTGTGCTGTTGAATATTCTCAAAAGTACTGCTGCTTGTGCTAATCAGTGAGCTTGCCTTCAGTCACTCTGCTCCCTGCTGAGCCATCTACCCAAACTGAGCTCAGTGTGCACCACTGGGATTAGGTGGGGTGGAGGTGTGAAGGTGAGAGGAGGGATAACTGCTAGAGCACAAACAGGGTCTGCATGGCCTCTGTTACTAGCAGCAGATCTTATTGTGGAAGCACCAGGTCGCTGATGGAGAATGGGAGCCCACTGTGCAAGGTGCTGTACAGAGATTATGAAAATGCTTTGAGCTTCTCAAATAGAAGATAGTATAGGAGTGCCAAGTGTTGCTTATTTTTAATAGCTATGTGTCAGTGAGGTCCTTGCACTGCCTTCTATAAATGTTTTAATTTCTTATGAGTTTGTTACCATAAACTTCACTGTGGGGCCTAAGCTCTTGAGCCTAGGCTATACATTCTCTTAACAGAAGTTTAGTTTTGGTAACTGTGGAGCTTGCTCAAGTTTTCTGGTTTCATTCGCAGACGGCAGTTATCACCTATGACTACCTCACATCTCTCCGGAGCGTCCCATATGGATCAGAGGAGTATGACTTCCTCAGATCACAGGTAGGTGATAGCGCTGGACTACGTTCCTTGGAAATTCTGCAAGGCACAGGTGGGTGGCCAAAGCCATTGCTGTAAAACAAACCGTCCATCTGTCAGCTTAATAATTCCATATGTGTTTTACCAAATTGTTAATAACAAACTGTGCTGCATCTTAGAGAAGATTCTTGCGGGACCTGCAGTGCCCAGTGAAGAAGGTCACTTGTCAAGAGTAGTCATGTGCGACCGGTATTCACTTAGGTCCGTCAGAGATGGAAGTGCTTGATGTATGGGCTAAAATCCTTTTGGGTTCTGTCACCAGTTCTTTGCTGTCCAGACTGGTTGTGTGGAAGTCAGCTGCAGAGAGGGGCCTGGCAGTGGTTTCTTATCCTGTTTATTGATTGGTAATGGCTGTAACATGAAGGCTGAGGGATTTGAGTAAAAGGAGTGTGTTGGAGGTCAAATAATAGGGATGAATCAGGCTTGCAGATCTCTCAGTAAATAAGAATTGGGCGAAGAAGTGTACATTTCATTGCAAAACACATAGTTGCCTTTTGATATCAGTAATTAACATGACTAGAAAAAGCATTTCTAGTGAAAAGGAAGATAAGCAGCCCTATTGCGCCTCTCAGGCTCGTGCTGCACCTTCCATTTCAGCCTAAAGCCCTACAGTACCCTGAGCTGTGAGTGACACTAAGTTTTATCTGAGTGTACATGGTGTAATAGCAGGGTCTCTCTGCTATTCCTGCTCAAGGCCTCGTTGGAGTGAGATATATGGCTTGTGCTGAATTAGGCCAGTGTGCATAGTATGTTTGAGGTAAGGTCTTTAACCTCTTTTTTCTTCTTAGTGCATGTAGGATTTAGGCTACAGCTGTGGTTATAGTGTATGGGACTCTCAAACTGGAGGGACTCTAAAGCTGGAAACAGCAATGGGCCAGGTGGAAATTGGTGGCATTGGACTCCAGCATGCTTTAGTATTCCTCTGGCAGAAAATCCACATCATCAGTGTACACTTCAGAGTTTTTTGCAAAGTGGCTTCCTTGAGCTTGTTCTTGTCCTCTCCTGTCTAAAGATGCTAAGCTCTTCTACTGTAGCTCCCCATCCCGGGTGAGTGGCTCTGCTTGCCTGGCATATACTGGAGATGGATGTGTTGGAGTCTGGAGCTTCACTTTCCATCTGCCCATTTCTCTGCCACGTGCCTGTGAAACCTGGTTTGCAGAAGGGCTGCTTGTAGTGTTCTTGAGTGACACCCAAGTTATAGAGTTACTAGTGCTGTGGCCAGCTTGTCGTTTGGCAGCAGTTCGCAGCAGACCTTGCAAATTCCCGACCTTTTGTCGTGTCTCTCCATGGCTTCATTAACCTCTGTCGTGCAGGTTTTGATAGTTTGTCAATTCATACCTCAGGCAGCTAGAAAAGGTCTCATTTGCTGGCGCGGCACAAAGCTGTGCTCCCCCTGCTTGGCAGCTAAGACTGGCCGTGTCAGCCTCTGTGTGTGGCAGAGCCCGGGGTGAGGACAGTGTGTCAGCATGGCACAAGAGCACTCTGTGGCATGGCCAGCACTAGCTTTTGGCTGCATGAAGGGGAATGAGCTGTGACACAGGAGGAAGGAGACGCAGGCATAGTATGATTTTGTAAAACTTGCTGGCCTCTGGAAGCCTGTCCTGCTGTCAGCAGGTGTTATGGAGGGCCAGCACTGAGCCTTACAGTGACAGCACTTGTGGGTTCCTCAGCAACATGGAATCACAGAGTCACAGAACAGTTCTTGTTGGAAGAGACCTTCAAGATTGTAGATTCCAACCTTTGTCCTAGCCCCTATCAACACCACTAAGCCATGAGCTTGTGCTATTAATGCATCAGTTTGGCATGGGAGACTTTTTCAGGCCTGGAGAATTTGTGTGCCAAACCCTTTGACTCACTGCAGCTCTGAGTGGATGGCAACCAAGCCTTTACCATTTTGCAGCTCTTGTAACACACTGTGGGAGTTTGTTTTGTTGGTCTTGAACTAGCTCAGAATGACTTGTACAAATTTGCCCCATTGGCGTTGGTACTAAAGATTAGTCACTGCGTGAGGCCAAGAGATGCGAATGCCACTCCCAAGTGTTGTGTGTGACGGATACTTACCCAGATCTCTGTCCTGGATAGTTCTCTGGTGCTTTCAGCCATTCATTGTACTCTTCTTTGCTTCCAGTGAGGGCAGCCTAACTTCCTCTTTATATGCTGAGAGTCTGGAATTTTCTTTTAAGCGTGTGTATGAACTGGCTATTGATTTTGAGCTTTGCTTTTGGAGCTGTGCCTAGCAGAGAGATTCTGTGCAGCAAAGATTTGGTGACTGTGGGTAGTGCCAGCCGGTCTGGGTGCAGCTGCTGTGCCTCTGTCTCCAGTCAAGTGGTGGAGCCACATGTGTGTCTGGCACAGGCTTTCAGCTGGGAGTGGAAAAACACTACTTCTGCGCATCTCCTCCTGGTGGGTACTACTCCAGTGCATACATTGGTTAACTCACTCTCCAAAGATTCCCAGTTAGCCGTTAAACTGGAGCCCCTGAGTTTACTGCAGCCTCAGATGAGAGGGGAAACCTTAGTGGTAGCACCAGTTCCTGAGCCTGTTGGGGCCAAACAGGGACATAGTCATTAGGAAACAATTAAATGCAAAGCAGATTAAGAAGCAAATGGATTCCCCAGGGGCTTTTAGGCAGATTCCTGCTTAGTTCCAAGGAATTCTCTTTAATCTTACACTATTTTTCTGTCCCTTGTGGACCACTTTTGATGCTAATGCTTTCAGCCCCTCAATTCTCAGCACCTTTTTATGGCCAGCAGATTGGGGGTGTTTTACTACTTTGTATGAGGCAGGAAGCAGTATCTGGGAATTCGCTGTCTGTCCCCAGGGGTGATTTGCCTCTGGTTATCCCATCAGCCAGGAGACAGGAGAATCCACCTTCCTCGTGGCACTCACAGCCCTTCCACAGCGACAACCAAGAGAAAAAAAGAGAAGTCTTATCTTTTTCATTCATGCTTCTGCCAGTAGCAGGGATAAACCTCATAAAGTGGTCCAGCTGTATGTCCAGCCCAGTGGTTGCTTCACCTCATCACTGATGGCTGGGCCACTTCAGTAACTTCATCTTTCTGTTGAGGTAAGGGTCCATTCCTGGGGTGTTTGCCCTTTCCCTGTGTCTGATGATAATGCCAGTGTACTAATGTCAAGGCTGTGGGTAGCCCAAAGACATCGGGTGTCTGTATGTCTTGTGTCTGGAGCATTAGGGGAGATAGGAGCTTTCTTCGTGGCTGTTTCATTAAATTATTCTGGCCATCTTTGCCAGGCATTTCTTCCTGTTTCTGCCCCTACTTGCACTGGGTCAGAGAAGGAAGGGCAGCCTGCTCAGCACCATTTCCTTACCTATTGCTTTCTCAAGCCGTTTTATTCTGCAGAGGGCTGCATTTCTCTGATATTCTTCTGCCTCCTTGAGTGTCTCCTCAGTCTCAAGTCAGCCTACTCTGTGACATTTCCAGTGTTCCTCTCATTGTAGCACCTGGAAGTCTTGGTTGACACTTTTTTGACATGGCTGGCATCAGTTTCTTCTGATCCTGCTGTCAGTCAGGAGGTATTTCACAATGTACAGTTTGTGTAAGGGCTGGCATCAATGGGATTCCGAGTTGTCCGTGCAGTAAGAGGATTGCAATGGGTCAGTCATCTTACCGATTTCGGCACAAGTGGCCACAGCTAAAAATCTTGAGTGGGGCATTATTTTTGTCATTTTCCTCTGTAAGACAAAAGGTTACTGCCGTGAATATGGATACAGATATTTTTTTAACGGAGAGGAGATGGCGAGGAGAGAAAGGGTCTGTGGTCAGGGTGTCTTGGGAGACAGTGGGAATGCATTCTTGAATCAATTTTGTTGGCTACAGAATTGCTTGGTCAGGGAAAAGCCATTTGGGGAGGTTAATTAACTTTCCTCCCTTTGAGAGCAGAATGAGGATGTTCTCCTCATTCAAACTCCTGGTTATTGGGCTGTCAGTGTCTGGGCAAATATCTGGGAGGCAAAACCTTGTGCCATCGTTATACGGAATATGATTTCTTGCTCCATGGAGGCTGTTCCTGGCGCTTGTTGTGTTTGCTTCTCACGATGAGGTGGGTGTTTTGAAAATGAGCTGTGTCTCACAGTGAAGTTGCCAGACTGAAGAATCCTGGAAAGAAAGTGAGTGGGTGTATATGTGTGTGTGTTTTTCAGAAATAATGTACATTTTGTGAATAGTTCAGACCAATGAAATAGCCTGTTTCCTTGGACTTCCCTTGGGATTCAGTAGCACTATGTGCCTTAAATAATAGGAAGTGATGTTCTAATATATTTTTTCATGATGGAGGTGGACTGCATCTGCCGAGAGAAATCCCCAGGAGCTCTCCATGGCATTCCTTCGAAAAGGCAGCTGTGGATGGGGACTGTGGGCTGTTCTACACCACAGCCAGTGCATGCCGTGGTGTCTCATATTGTGCTTCAACCTGTGGTAAACGGGTGAGAAGCAGCAAATGAACTTCCCTATGAGATGTGGAATAGCCATTAGGTGGCAGTGACTTTCTGTCACCAAGCTAAATGGGAACCAGTAACAGAGAGGTGAAGAGCTTCACAGCCCATCCATGATCTCCAAGCTTGTTGAGTTTGGTTGCCCTGTTATATGCTCCCCAGGATATCTCTTCATCTAAAAGGCATGGTTGACACTAATGCAATCTAAAAACGCTACTAGCAGGGCCAGCTGGTGACTTGATGACTCTGCATTTGAGCACTGCTGTCTAGCAAACTTCCTGCCAACACATAAAGCATGAAAGCTTTGCACTGAAAACACATAATAAGCCATAAAATAAATCTTATAATTATAAAACACTTCCTTTTCCTCCTTCTGCTTTCTAGAGTGGTGTCAGCTGAACATTAGGGCCACAACATCTCTAGGTTTTAATTTTGTAGCATTAGGAAGGTCCAGGTTTTTTTTGGGAAGTGTGCCTATGAAACAAGATGTTCTTCAGTCCTCTGCAGTGAT